CCGCTAGACCAAGCCCAGGAAGAGGCAACGCCTCTTGTTGAGTGGGCTCTTACTCCCATGGGGTACTGTAGGCTCAAAGAAGAGTACGCTAGCTTGATAGCTATCCATTTGGAAAGTCTCTGCTTCGTGACCAGAGACCCTCTGGTGCAGCCACCGAAGCATACAAAAAGCTTTTCCGACTACCTGAATGGGGTGGAACGCTCAATATATATTCTCAATGCCCTGACAGCTCTTGGTCCTGCCCCGAAGGAGGAAGCGCCGAAATAGCTATTACCTGTGCTCTGAACGGAGTAGAGAGCACTTTAGGTACATAACCATGCCTCGGCTTCAAGACGACCTTGGAGTCATTGGGCCCGAATTCGAGGCAGGTGGGGCTCACCGAGAGCACATGCAGATCTCCCATACGCTATTGTATTTAGCACGCTCTCTGGGAGGTCCGTAGGCTCCCATCGAGAGGCCAGATGTGCAGAGCCCACAGCTCGGGCTGGGGGTGCCATAAGGACGACCTTAGAGTCGTTGGGCCCGAACTCACTGATAGTGCCTGCAGATCTCCCATACGCTTTACTGATGCTAATGCTAGAAGCAGAGCAGTCTTAAGCGTCAGGGGACGAAGGTCAAAAAGGAAAATATCAGAGATATGTCGCATGAGATTGGGTCTGCGCCACGAGCTGTACACCAGGCGGAGAAGACAGACCATTTAAGGGCGTAGAGGCGTCTTGTAGACGGTGCTCTAGCCTGAGAGATTGTGTTTAGCACGTTCTCGGGGAGGTTCGCAAGCTCCCATCGAGAGGCCAAAGGTGCAGAGCCCACAGCTTGGGCTGGGGGTGCCATATCGTTCCGTTCGCCTGAGAGAGGAGGTCTCGTCTCAGGGGAATGGGCCACGGGGCTGCCGAGAGCAGCCGGTACAGCTCTGCAAACCAGTGCTGGTTCCTCCAGAGCGGGGCCACCAACAGCACCTTGCGTCTCTGTTCCCTGACTCGCCTGATCGCCTGTGGGATCAGAGCGATCGGGGTAAAGTGTAAAGGAGGAGGTTGGGCCAGTCGTGGGCCAACGCGTCCCTGTTCTTCGAAAAGTAAGTTGGGCAATGAGAGTTGTCTTCTGAGGCGAAGAGGTCGACCTCTGCCCTGCCGAAGAACAAGTTTATGTGTTTTAGTTTTGTGTGCTTCGCTGTCTGCTTTTCCTGACGCACCAATACAGTGCATTTTTCAGCAGAGATCATTGTGAGATTGAAAGTTGGGAGAATGACAGCTCGAGTGTATTTCTCGTTAATTGCTGTTTTATCATGTCTGTTCGGATACTTGAGCATAACAGAAGCTACTCATGGACAAACCACAGGTGAGAAGATCTGTTGACTTCATTACGCAGCCTGAAGAAATGCAGAAATAAGGGACACTCGGTATTTGAGAGTAACTAACAGTTTAGGAAAAAGTAGTAGGTTTTTGAAACACTTTTGATTGGAAGCAGATAAATGTCCAACTTGTATTAAGGTTTGAGACTCATTGCAAAACTCCTGATTTACAAATGCTGAAACTGCACTCCCTGGCCTCCCCTAATGATCCTCTTATACTCTCTAACAGGGGGGCTCAAACC